CGAGTGCTTCTCCTGTCTGCGTCTCCAACACCTCTCCTTTATCTGATGCCTGTATATCCACACAACTCTCCCACTCCTCTCTCTTCTCTCTCGCTGCCTTCCTCTCTTTCTTCTCTCTTTCTTTGTGTCACGCGATGCCCCATTACTTATACGCTCCTCTGTATCTTTATTTAAAACCGCCAGTCTGGTTCTTTACAGATCGAACGCAAATGCTGATTTGTATTTGCCTGGCGTTCCGTGACTATAGGAGTCGAGGCGGTGGCTCTGCTTAGGGCTGTGGTTGGCTGAGCCCATCTGTCACTCAAAAAAGCATGACCTCTGCTCCCGGCCGCCAGCCAGCCATAGAGCCTCTTTGACAGAATTATGAAAATTCCCGTCTACTGCTCATTGGCCCAATTGAATTACAAGCGGCGCTGTGTTGCGTAGAAGGTTTTTAAACGGTTGATTTAAGGCGCACTCACACAAACGCACACGGACATGCACATAAACTCGCACTGCTGTCTGCTGCATGGAGGAGGCTCGGATCTCTATTTATTCGTCTATTTACAGAGGACAATTGTCTCTCTTTTCAGAGCACTCATGTTTTGATAGATTTCTGATTGAGTTTTCCCAATCTTTCTGAGTCTGTTTGTGTGTTAATATGCCACTGAGGCTTTTGTTTTCTTCACACTGTTTTTGCAGTTTATGGTAAATTATTTGCTTCATAGGACGTCTATTCTGCGCTATTTCTCCCTACAGCACTTCACATCTGTTGTCTTTTCATTACACACATTTATTTGACTCCACGTGCCTGCCAAGACACTCTGGATAAATCACACTGTTATTTTGTCTGCTGGCTCACACCTGAGAGGAGGGAAATGGCAGAAAATGGTCTTATTTTTGACTCTAACTGTTAGTTTTATTGGATGAAGCCACCAGCACAGCAAGCCTGTTTATCAGCAGCATATTCTCAGTAAAGGAGAATGGGTTTTGAGTGAATTCATGTGTGCTCAGTAGGTACAGTGCATTCATTCAGTGCGATTCTTCCCTGACTGACTGGCTTGCCCTCCCACAGCCGCAATGACAGGTTGCTACTTGTTAGACCCGGGCCTGCCTGCTGTCTCTGAGCCCATTTGACTGACTGACTTGTGGTATTTCTGCTTCTTCTGTTTGTCTTCGTGTCTGCTTCTCCGCGCCCCTGCCTGATTGCCTGTCTACCTGTTTGCATATCTGTCAGCGTCTCGTCCGGGGCGCCCTGAAAATGGATTGTCCCTCGTAGCAAGATTTTTCCATTCAAAGAAACTTTTGGCTTGTAAAAAAAACAAAAAAAAAAACACACGCATCAGACTCTCTGTCCATCTTCCTTTCCGCTGTGCTGCAGGGAAGTCTGTTGTTGTTGAGAGAAAAAGCGGTTGTTTTACAGATATCACAGTCACAAAGCCACAGGTGCCAAGCAACATTTTTGGCATTTACTTTTCGGTAGCTGGCATTAAATTGTATCAGTTGATAGAAAAGTACACACTACTATATGCTGAGCAAGATTTGGCTTGTTTTGTAAAGACACACAATGACTTACTATCTTTTTTTCTCAAAAGGGTATTTCTTTACAGCAAGGCATAATTATGGTTTTCCTAGTCCTAATTGTGTTGTCAGTAACCATATATTGTACAAAGCAATTATTAACCAAACATATATTAGCAGAGTGAAAGAGTTTTCAATGCATTGTGGAAAAACATGTCCCCAGTGTGTCTTTACATGTAATTTGCAAGCATTACACATTTAACAGCTCTTTACAAATAACAGAAACAACAGTATGTTATTATTTATTCATTAGCCCTACAACGTGCCTATTTATATCTCCAGAAATAGGACCAGTATGGCATAATTATAATTCCCATTCATTTACAATTGTGTCTCTCTGTCTCCACTGCTACTGTTTGCCCATATCTATCTCCCGGCTTGTCATTGTTGTTTTTTTTCTTCTTCTTCTTGAGAAAGCAACCCACCCACGGTTGTCTGGTCTCGATCTCCATGGCGACCTAATCCCCCACCAATCCCAGAACAGGAGCGTTTGAGTTAAGACCCAGCATGTTACAGCAGCCTGTCATCACCGATCACTGGATGGAGTTAGACTTAGTTTGAATGGAAGAGACAGTCGGGATCGCGCATGAGCGACAAAGGAGAATATTTCCATTTGAGGATGATCGACAAAAATGAATTGAATATACTTGTATTCTTATAAAGAAGAATAATCATGCCATGGCTTTAGCCATTAAACATGATATTGAGACTATTTATTTTGCCATATCATATTTTTTAGAATGTGAAAAATTGTGTATGTAAGAAAATAGGCAACAGATGTTAAGTATAGAAAATTATTTCCCTCAGTAACAAATTTCAAAATTACCGACTGCAAACATAGCCATACAGTGGTAAAGACCATAATTTCTCCTGCCAAAATGAACAACACCAATCAAAAAAGATATAAAACACAATACAATAAAGCCAACTCCAGGAACACACGCAAAACCTGTCCATGGTTAAAAGATCACGTTTTTGATTTGGCACAGTATGTCTCCTTTAAGTCCCATAATTTTGTAGTGTATCATTATGTGACAAAATGTGTGACAAGTCATTGAAATATTATTCCTTTTTGAAAGATAAACTGAAGGTTTTCCCAGATTTTTGACAGTTATTTCATGGTACGAAAACTACCTGAAAACGGATACCAAGTAAAAGACATCCATTTCAATCATAATGTTATATTTTTATACAGCAGAATGTCACATTCACATCCAAAATAATATTACTTCCTCTAAAATTAGCACATTGTTCGTTAGTGATTTATATTCAGGTTCAAACATCAAATTACTGCTTGTATCTAGTTTGATTCTTTAGTGTGGATTACTGTTGTATCTCGGTTGGTCTGGCTCACTCACTTCATAAAAAAACATTACAAGATGTTGTTGCGAATATATATCATAACATTTATAATTTAAACTCATGCTCATGCTGGTTGCATATTATACTTCCGCATCCGTGCTGTGAAAGTGAGTGACCGATTGGACAGGTCATAATGAATCCAGAGCAGCAGTTGGCATGAGCTGGGGCCATGCTATTAACCTCTGCGCCTGCTAGCCTCATCTCCAAGCCTGCCCGTCTGCCTGTCTCCGCGGCCTAATGATACACTCTCACACACACGCGCTAAACCTGTCCTTTCTAATCAATTTCCTATTCAAGTGAAAAGTATTCGGCATTGTCCAATCATCTCTATTCACAGCATCAAAGAGCCTCTGCCGGTATCAAGAAAGAGTTTTTTTTATTTTTTTTACCTCCCACTCAGGGGAAGTTACATTTGAAAACTATTTGATATTTATTCGTCTGAAGAGGTCCTCGTAGCAGCCAGATCACATTTCACTGTGTTTTATATGCACCATTACAGTTATCAAGAAATTCTGAGAAGGTTTTCTATCTCAGTGGTGTAATAGAGGAAATACAGTTCAGAAATGCGCTTTTGATCTGGCGAGGCCACTGTGGAGTAGTTTATGTGTTCACTCAATAAAAACTAGTACCCAAAATTCAAAGTTATGATACGGACGAAAAACATCTCCCTGAGACCAGCAACAAAATATAACCCGATTGAATTCACTTCAGTAGTCCTTTTGTTGATTGCTACACATGTATTTAATTCAGCAATTGTTTTTCCCTCTCTCAATTATTTACACATTCAATTGGGTTTCTCCAGGAGCTGTTTTAATATTGCTGCAGTCAAAGTTGATGATCATTTTTAATTTAGCATAACCTGAAATAAAATATATTTAAAAAAAATTTGCGGCTGTTCAAAGTTTTTGGGTAGACTTTTTATTTGCCTGCGGAAATTACATCCAGTACATTGCCTTTAATAATACGTTTGCGGCTGCTCTATTGCTGCCTGCACAAACGAGGAATTAAAAACAGTTTGTCGGAATGATGGGCGCAATCTGACATGAAAAGTCTTGTCGTATTGCTACATCTTTGGCTGTAAATGGCCTTTAATCGTCCGTGCTTGACTTTAGTGTGCGCATGAATGAACGAGAAAACGTCATAGGAAATCCTTGGAGGAGAGAGAGAGCACCTGGCGCTGTCTGTACTCATAACAAACGACAGGGCCAAGATTAAGACTACATTTGTATCGCTGCCAGTATGAAACATCCACTTAGTGTTTCTCATAACAGTTATATACTCTGCATCACTGATTATTTCAAATATAGATTGTGCTTTAGAATGAATCCCCTCCTCATTCAGGTTACATAAAGGACAGGCTCGATGTAATATCAAACGCACCTCATCCCATCTGTTCGGTGAGCTCACTGAGACGGGATGGTGATGTTGCGGCGGACGCAGAACAGGGGACACTAAGTTCTTCTTGGGATAACTGCCTGCATATAATTTGGTTTGGCTTGAGAATAGAAGAAAATCTAAGTTTTGACTGAAGGTGGTACAGTACATGTTGTTTGACTGCAGGAATTCCATCACAGTAACGTATGGGTGTGCTAAGAATAATATAGTGATACATTTTTAGATACCATTTTTATTTTCAATCAGATACAAAATGAATCAATGTTTTCATAAATGGTTTTAGTTATTGAATTTGGTTGAGCAGATGCTGGTTTAACTTTTGTTTGAGGGATATTTGCCCAACAGGGGGTCAGTTGGCAAAGCATTGGCCTTTTAAACTGAAGGTTGTGGGTTTGAGCCCACCACGAGCCTTTCTCCACCGACTCCCACTGATGTCTGCTGTCGTTGTGTCCTTGGGCAAGACGCTGTACCCATTTTGCTTAAAAGGAGCGCGGAAGTAATGTTCGCTGCATGCCTTGATATGTGTATTCATCACTTCTTCTATTTTTCATGTGTTTGATGGTGATGGCTGATCATAGCAACAGAGGCTTGGATAAGTCCTCATTGCCTCATTGTTTCATGAAAATAAAGGTGCCAACTTTGCAAAATTACAAATACTAATAATACACCTTCGATTGCTTCAGCAGGTGCCCCCATATGGTCAGCAAGGAATGGGAGGCTATGGCCAGCAGCAGCCGCAGCAACAAGCACCACCACCACCACCACCCGCACCCCCCCAGCCAACCGGTCAACCAGGAACACCCCCATACTTCAGCCCTCCACAACAGACTCCTCCTGGACCTACCCAGGGCCCCTATATGCAGACAAGACCACAACAACAACAACAACAGGTACGCACACACAAAGCCGACCAAAGCACCCACTCTCCCGGGCTGGTTTTAGAGCGCACACAGGCATAAACACATATTGCCTTTGTTCAAGGTCGCACAGATGTCACTTATCAGAAACAACATCAAGAATATTATTTGAAACATCAGCAGCGAAGGGATTTCAGCCAATTCTTTTCCACGGCCTGTATTTCATTATATCGCTGGTGCGGGGGATTGTAGCAAGCATCTTAAAGGATAAATGCATGCAGTGGGGGTGTGTGTTTGAGTGTAAACATGTGCTATCCCCATGCATAATTCATGAGAGGTATTTTAGGTTCATCTCTATCTCTTTCTATCTATTCCGTAGCAGAAAATAGACATCTAAATGCAGTTCACATATTGGACATAGCCAAAGTGCACAAACACATTGTATATTTTTTCCCATGCACACAAACAGAGCGACTGCCAAAGCAAACCACGTCTGCAGCACAAAAGAGCCTGATATGGATCGAGGCCTCATCCTGCCAAGTCCCTGCATGGTGTTCGAGAAGACCCCCCCCCCCCCCCCTCCCTCATGTTCCGAGGAGTTAAGTTCAGCCAGTTGTTTTGGAGTTGACTGAAGGCTGTGCATGTGTTTCCCATCCGCTGTGCAGCCCGTGTGGAGCGGCTCTGGATAGCAGCTCCAGCATGGATTCAAGCAGAGGATCATCCAGGGGAAAAAGGAGAGGGAGAGAAAGTTCACAGCCATGGAGAGAACGAACCAGTCAAAAGCAATAATGAAATAATGTGAATCATAATAACAATAGCCAATAAGTGCCGGTGGGCAATATTGAGTATTACGATGACACTATTCAGCCGTTATGGGTCAGTCCAACAGGAACAAGCTGAAGCATAACCTGCTTTTGTATCAGTCATAGGTGAACAGGCCAAATTGTTGTTGTAGAATTCTATTTCAGGAAAGAAAATCTGTGAATGTTTTCCTAGATCATAAATTGTTATATTGTTAACACTTATAGACAATTGTATTTGAAAATAATTAAACCATATTTGATATGTGCTGACAAAAAAACATGCACAACTTTGTGATAGTTTTTGCTTAATATGGATGGACCCAGGAATTACAAAGCATTTCGAAACAACGATCTGACTTTAGACAACATAGTTACCCGTGAAGTTTTTTTAGCTGACCACCACTACAAGTGTAAAATAGAGGCTCTTTGAAATGATGTGATGTCACATAAATGAGGCCTTTTGGAACATATAGCAAGATCACTTAAAATTAAGAATATATATTGTTTCAGGTATTTCAATACAACATTTCAATTATCTACATCTCTAGTATTGATATTGATACAGTATAGTACATTAAAGTGAAATCTTAAAAAAAAAAAAAAAAAAAATGTTGATCTCAGCACTTCCAGAAACTTAGTTAAAACATTTTCTCTCCTGCAGTCAGCAGAGCAAATGAGAGCGCTAGAGTTCGCAAGTCTAAAAGAAGGAGGACAAATCAATGTTTTTTGACACATGAAATGTGTGTGCTACTTGAACTGTGATTTACCAAGATGTAACTACAGCTTTCTTTAGACAGCTCTGAATATGGAGCAACTCGAGACAAATATGCAAGCAAAAAGCCAGCCATTTCGAAACAAAGGCTGGTGTCAGAATAGGAAATCGTTAGTGCTTGCATAGTAATTTGAAACACTGAGTGAAGGTTTCAGCTGCCATACCTATTGTCTACCATTTTTAAAGCACTCACATCTTAACTAAAGTGTTCCTTCACTACAGAGTAAAGTTATTCGCTGTGAGGAGAGTCGCGGATTCATGGTCTGACATTTTGTGGCTTTGTAATGGTCTGTAGTCATCACTGCTGATGATATTGCTGCAATTGACCCCATCTGACCTTTTCTCAGCAGGCTCCTTGCTATTTGGGTTAATGTGTCAGTTTAACGTTAACAATTGGTCCTTACTGTGGTTGTTTTTCACAATAATATATTTATAATGTACTGTACATGCAGAAGATGATAAGATACGTATTTGTGTGCTTGATTCTTTTTATGGTTATTGTGGAAAAATGCAACAAATACATTGAGAGTCTAAACTAAATAAGATGATGTTGCTGCTTTATGTTTTATAGTATTATTTTCAGGAGAAATTCTGCATGATTTAAAAAGAGTTTATACAATCATGTTCATATTTACATAAACATTTGTCTTGTACTTTTTACTGGCTGCCTTCCCACAACAAGAATATAGATTGTTGTCAAATAGACGCATACAATAAATTACCCAGGCTTGTTAGTAAGAGTCTAAGTAGGGAAAAAAAACATATTTAAATGTGTTTTCAACTTCCCTTAAACATTCTCTTAAATTGAATTCTTGCGCATGTGCTTAGGTCCCAGGGTCTGTTTTCTTTTCAGTTGCTGCAAATGAGAACATCCAGCCTTGTTAACGTTGCATAAAAGCCACAACACCTTCTCTGGTCAATGCATCAGCGCCTCAGTCCTGCTGTCTTTACTTCTAATCAAAAACGTCTTCCCATGTGTTACTTTATGCCCAGCACCAGGCTCAGCAGGCAGCCAGCGCATACCTCCTCTGTCTCCTCACTAGCGAGATCCACATCGAATATGAGTCTATTTTACTGCTTACATACGTTTGTTCACATGTGCCGTACAACCCACCGCAAGGGAAAAGACATTTTAATAATTGATACAGTCATAAGAATTGGAAAGGAAAACAACAGTGTAGAAGCTAATAGATTAATTTAGACTGTGATTGGTAATGAATGTAATAGAACCTGGGATTTGTTTTAATGAGGTCGCTGTGATCTGCTGTTTGCCTGCACATATTGTAATTTTGAATCCTTCAATGCTCCTAAGATTGGAATACCTGGTTGAAGGAATGGCCGGCTGTTAATCTTTCAGGTCGATGGGAAGTACCCTCTCAGACAAAGGGGAAAAGGAGATTTTCACTCCTTATGACTTTTTTCAAAAACATTTGAGCTTGACATTTTTGGATGTTGAATTTGACCAAGATTGGAAATAGTAATAGAGTTTCATCGGTGTGTGTGTGTATACTCTAATCAGCTGAAAGTGCTGCTGCAATTGTGCGCTGAGAAAAGGTTGAGGCGTAACCTTTGTGTGATTCTCTGCTGAAATGAGACATGATGTTAGCCCCTCTCACACACACATACACACGCACGTACATGCACACGCCTCAGTGGCAACAGAAATGGTATATTGCAGATTAGGATGTCATTGTGCTATTGACCCATTTTCTCTGACCCTGCATTACTCTGAGAAATCTAAGCTGAAAAGTTTTTTATTTTGTTCTTCCGCCTTTCTGCTTGTTTCTTTTTGCCTCCACTCCACTCCCATTAACCCCAGCCAGAGGACATCCTCCAGTTGATGGAGCCATTCCAGCTGCCTTTGACACAGAATTTGCTCTGCACCCGACCGCTATTAGCTGGTTTTGTAACAAATCGAGGGAAAACACCGCTGCCTTTTGAGTCTATTGCACTGCTGTGACCTCATCTGATTGCACCGAGTGGACTAGGCTAAAAGACTTTTTCAAAAACTCATTGGAAAGCAAGATAAAAAAGAATGTGAAGTATAGATGCAGTATGACTTTAAAAATATATTTTTTCATTATCTGTAGCTTGGAGTATAACTGTAGTATACAGGCCTAATATAAAATTTACTGAGCCATTTGTAAGTAAGTAAGTAAGTAATGTTTACTTATATAGCGAATTTTACAGACCAAGGTCACCCAAAGAACTTTACAATGTTCAGAGTCAGACATTGTTCCAATCCACACACGGTGATGACGGAAGCGAGTCACTGAACACACTGGCGCATCAGCCCCCAATCAACACCATCCATTCACTCTCATTTACATTCATAACTATTGTGCATGTTTTTAGTGGTAGGGGAAACCGGAGCACCCGGAGGAAACCTACGCAGACACAGGGAGAACATGCAAACTGCCACTCAGAAAGGCCCGGGATTCAAACCCAGGACCTTCTTCCTGAGAGGAGAGAGTGCTATCCACTCAGCCACCGTGTGCCCATTTGTGGCTCCTGGTTTGACCCAAACATAAATGCCTTATTAGGAAGACTTGCCCGGACAGATCTGCGTTAGATGAATAGAACTTACACACCTTAAGCCTTTATGACAGAGAGAATTGAAAGAATTCAGGCTCAGGCATAAACTGAAAGCTAGGGTACCTAACGTTTGTTTTATATAAATATTACTATTTTTTTAGTCTAACAGAAAGAGTTTTGTAAGTACAATGTTGTGAACAAATCACACCACAACATGCTGTCTTCACCTCAATTGAAAAAAATATGTATTTTTGGACAGAAAGAACCCTTTGATCCACTGTTTGACTATTTGGGCTGTGAAGATGGTCCTATTTTTTACTTTTCTGTCTGAAAAATTCTGATGATATGTCAGTGCCCAAAACATATGTATGTGAAAACTAGTGGTTGAACCAAACAATTTCAGAACAAGATGGTTTTTTATTACATAGTGATCTTTTGTGGATTTGAACGTTCTCCTGCTTTAAGTCTACGTTGTGTGAGGGGAATAGACACATTTTACTCTAACTATGGTGTCATTATGCAAAATATATTTTCACAATAAACTGACATCCTAACTGTTTCCACTTTGAATCCAGTTTTCAGAAATTGTTTTGTCTATGTTTGTGTGAAAAAAGACAGGAGTGTCAGAAAAGCAATACTTAAAATAAAAAATACGCCTACATATAGACGAGGTCTGTTTGAAGGTCGCTGTTGTCCCTGCACAGCTGCACAATTTCATTTACAAGAACTTCACTTCACTATTTAACAAAGTACAGACTTGATTATAGTGGAGACAAATATGATTGTTATAGCGCAGGTCAGCGTAGTGTCTAAATCTTCATAACGAGAAAGTGAGATCCTCTTACCATCTAATACATTGTACCTCATAAAAAGCAAAATGAGAGTGCTGTAATTTTAAGAATTTGGAGATTACTTTTATGGCA